ATTGAACGTTTTTCGTAATCTTTGATCGGCTCATTCTCAAATTCCTTTCTCCGTTCCTTCTCTCATCCCGTTTGTTCCTTGTCGAACCCGTAATTCCTCGGTCCATTCCAGATTACAATCTTTGCAATTGATGAACATGTAATCTTTATTCCCGTTTGTGACACTGTGGAGGCAAAAAAAGTTTTCAGGACATTTTGTCAACGGTTTTTTGTCCGCGCTCCTGTTTTGCACAGTGGTTTAAGTCCACGCAGTGCGCAATGCGTGAAGTATTCCTGTTAGGTTTGTAGGCGCCAATGCGCGTGTCGCGCTGGTCACACTCGCCCGCCGCCACGGGGCAGCGTGCCACGGCACTTCAAGCAACTATTTCGCAACTGAGATGTTGTGCAGCATCATACGAAATTGAAGGCGCTCCAACGTATCAAGAATGACAGGCATCCTTTGAGAGTACAGAGCTTTTCTCGCAAAATAAATAAAGATACTACGACACAATAAGATCGCGGTAGTCCGTAAACGCGGTTTATTTGAAAACGCTTGTTACGGAATACGCAGATTGCGTGCTAAGGAGTGGATTTCAGACTTTTTTTATGCATTCAACGTGATATTTGAGCAAATTTACTTTCAGAAAGTGTTTTCAGTTGGCTGTACAGTGTACCTCTTGCCAGCAACAGACCCATCTAATAAGATAGTATATTTTATGGTGCTTTAAATGTTACCCTCCCTAAAGGTCCATCACTCTTTGAATAACACATAAGAGTACAGATTAAATGACACGGAATAAAAAGTGTCAGGGGTTATCCCCTAAAATTGTGGTATACTACTCCAATTTATTGGATGATTATTTGGACATCTCTAATTAATTGTATCAGTACCGCAACTCAAGTTAGGGTAGTACCGCAAAATTTGGGCTCGTTACCTAGTTTATTGGGGTACTACCATGATTAATTGAGGTGCTACTATAATTTAGTGGGGTACTACCACAATTAATCGGAAATGTCCATATCATCCAACAACCTCGTGCTTTTTTTTCCGTGGAAAAAAGTGCAAACCTGGCATGGTGCTAAACCACGAGAAACTGGAAGAATGCAGAGGGAAAATGAGTGGGTGAATTATTAAACTATGATTTCATCAGAATCCTTTGATCAAGGCGAGAGGGAAACAAGAGGGTAAGGTACGCGGAACACTCCGGCGGAAGGAAGGTGATGAGACGTTTGTAAACAAGAAACAAACAAGAGAACGGTGCTTTGAAACGTTAGCGGAGAGGGTGAATGTAATATTTAAGGGAGAGAGAAGAAGTAGGGCGACAGAGGCTGGTATCAGCGAGGGCGGGGGTGGAGCACACGTAAAGAGAGAGGTGGGAACGCTGGCCTACGGTGACTCGAAGCGTGTTGCGTCGCCACGGGCTACAAATATTTAGCGTTATGAATTTTCAAACAAAAATATTAAGTAAAATCCAATACGTCATAAACCCAGGTTCTCGACGCAATTAGCCGATTCTTTTCCTCGAAATGTAAATTTGATCCGATGGAGACTAATGAAAGCAATATGCAGTTACGGAGGTGCAGTAATGAAAAAGTCTTCACAAACAAAGAAGAAGATAATCGAACAAAGAGGAACGAAGCAAGAATCGAAGAAACAATCGCGGAAACGATCAGTGAAGAATCTGCTCGTTTCAAAACTACGGGATAATCAACCGTGGTAAGACGAGTGCTGAGCTGTTGCGCTTCACAGTTAAGTGCACGGTGCACACTAGAAACCTTGAAGCGCCTTCAATATTTGTGTATGCAACACGGACATCCGTTAAGCACGTTTAGTTGCATCCAGGCGCTGAGTCAGCCGTGTCCGTGGCCAGGGTGTCTACAAGTCCGGAATTTTCGGATAGTCCGGAAATACATTTAGTACTGAAAAAGTGTTGGAATTCCGCAAGAAGGTCCGAATTTTTTTTTCATTTTTTGTCATATCTGTCGTAATTCGAGCGAGAAATTCAAATTTTCAAAATTTCTCGACTTTCGTCAATCGGTAGCACTGAAAACGTACTGAATTTTTCTGTTGAGGCGGTTCCGTGTTTCTTGGAAATTTACTGAAAAAATGCTGTAAAAGTACTGATTTTTGGCTACCCTGTTATAGCAGACACCCTGGTGGCTTTGACAGGCGTTAGCGCCTGAGCACCAGATTGCATTACTTCCCCTTCACTAAACACAATGACGACTCATTGTATGTTCCACAGAATAAAATAATTTCCATTGTTTTTAATTGAATGAATGGGGCCCTTTTTAAAAATCAATTTTAGTTTAGATGATCTGAAGATCACCGGAAAAAGTCTGTACTAGAAAGCAGGAGTAGTAAAAACTAATTTTTAATAATTAGCACTTGGATAATTAAAATTTTTGTAACTGCAAATGAGAGAATATCACACAATATAGTCTAATTTTTCATACGAATACTCAAATAATGTGTAATCTCCGATCTAAATTCATTCAAGTGCCGGTTGGTCTTAGAAAAAAATACCATCGAAAAACTGAGAAAATTTTCCATTGACCAGTTTCATCGGATTTTATTTCATCTTTCGCGGTTTCCCTGAAAAGAAAAGAACCATATATCTGACCTAACTTTCGTGCACCAAGTAAAGATGAACCATACCCATTACCAGTGTGGACGTTTTACCGATAATGACTTTTTACTCCATACAAATTTGTTCTTCAACTTTTTCTTTCCTGTAAGTTGTTTAATGTTTTAATTCCTATAAATATTCCTCAGTCTTCAATGAGACTGAGGTCAGAGGGTTACAGATTACAGATCCATGTTCTATGCTTTCAAATTCTTAGAAATTAAGGACGGAAATTACTTTTTGTAGATTCACCTGTCAGTTTTATTAGATAGTTTCGCCGGGCGCTACTGACTGGATTTGAGCCCAGAATCTATTGAACTTGAGTCAGACGCGCTGACTATTAGGTCAACCTATCCGGTTTGATACACTCGTAACTGTGAGAAAAATTTCGTATCCAGATTCCATTCCGGACTAAGCCAAACTAGCCTGATATTTTCAGTATCAGATACGTTATTTTGTACCCAAAGCATCGATGGAACATCGATCATACCTTTAAGACCCAGGGAGCAATCCTTCATCAGAATAAGCTAAATTTACGTTAATTTAAACCGTTCCTGTTGATGAGTGAGCTCGTTCTGAATAGCTAAAACCTTCGCAACGTCACCATCAAAATTGTTAATGGCTACCCGGGCCAAAAGTAGTAAATCAAACAGTGGCGTGGCGTGAACGATCGATCATCGATATTTCCCCATTTGAAGCTATGGTAAAGAATCGATTATGAAGGTGTTCGTTGCGAACACCCTGTTTATCGATCCTTTTCCATGGGTTTAAACGGCAGACCAATCGATATATTGCAAAGCACGCCACGCCACTGAAATCAAAACTGAGACGATTATGCACTGCTCCGCGTTGAAAGGCGCCGAGCGCTGAAGGGATCAAAGCAGATCTTCTACCCATATTTCCACCTGCAAATTTATCGCACCAGTGTCAACATGACCCCCCCCCCCTCTCACCCTCGGGGAAGGCAACAAAATCAAAAGCAAAGTTCAGCAAGGAGAGAAGGTTTGCAGTGGTGTTTGTTCTGAGAGAGTAACTTGATCTCTCAACCTCGAGCGACCATGTATCGACTATAATCGTGATTATAATATCCAGGTTGTCTACGTTCCCGCGTGTAATTCAAATTATATTCAGGAAGGTCATAACTTTCATCGCAAATCTGACAGAAGTCGTATTGAATCAATAGAGGTTGGTGCGGCTAGTTCGAAATTAAGATTTAACCACGTCGGGTCATATTTATATAGTCGCTCTTTAGACACGTCTTTTCCTGAAAGACCCCATACGGCTCATATTGTCATCATAGCATGTTATTAAAAGAACAATTTTTCCAAACATGGGGTGTATCTCAAGAAAATAAGTATAGAAATAGATTCTAACGAAAGATTAAAGTGATTTACTGCAAAGAAAATTACAAAATAAGTACGAAAAAATATCAGAGATTCCGGAAAGATTAAGGTAGGAACGGACCAACCTTAAAATTTGCAATGATCCTAGAATTTTCCCTCGTGCATTTCGTAATTTTTGCCGTGGCAAATCAGACCGTGGCCTCGTCCATTGGTGGATCCAGCAAATTGGCAAAATTTTACTTTTTCCATTTAAACTAATGGAAATGTATCGATTCTTGGAGGGGCCAGGAGCTCCTACAATGATCGATTATTTAGCCTAGATTTAATTGGTGGAAATCCGGTGTTGCCAAATTGCTATAGATCCACCTCAGTTATGTTGAGGACTTCTCAAAGCCTCTCTTAGTTACAATACCACGTGGGGCGTTCCCAAGAGAAAGGAGTTGTTTAAGGAGAGACTATGAGTATGATCCAAAGTCTGATGAGAAGCGTGCATATCAAGTCAAACGCTTACCCAAAAAGTTCCTTGATGTTCCTTTCAATTATATATTGAATCATAATAAATGATATTTGACAATATTCAATGATCATTGAAGATCATAAAAAGTTATGTGTCACTGTAAAATGCGGTTTCCTCCCTTGAAGTCAGAAGTGTTACGCCTCCATTTTTTCATGGTGCCTTACAGTGGCGTAGACAAGGGGGTCTGAAGACCCCCCCCCTTTAGCCTCGTTAATTGCCTCTTTTTTTGACTCTTGGAAGGCAGACAAAATATTATCAGGGACGTACACAAAATAATGTAAAGTTACGGTCCCGTTTTTTTTTTTTTTTGGACGTAATTGTTTTATTGTGATTTACAGGGTGGAACTATCTGTGACAGGAGATAGCCCGAAGGCCTATAGTACATACTAAATGAAACCTAAATGTTTAAATTGAGCACATTTATATTATGCGAGAATCCCCCCTGTATATCCCCCGCCCCGTAAAGAATTCCTTATTGCGCCACTGGTGCCTCACTTGAAAACTCATTGAAATGTGCTTTTTCCGTTTGTTACAGATCAGTACTGCTGAGCGCAAAATTCTGGCGAGTCGGTTCCCCGAAAAGGCGAAGAAAATGACATGTGGCATATCACCAAGTCCCGAAAATAATGTTTTACATCACTATGCTGCTCCTGAGCCTAATGTGTTCAGCTAAGCCGAGGTACCTGAAAATCGAGCTCACGGGAGTCACCGCGGAACCGGAAATGAACAACTCGCACCACGTGACGTCACCAGTCGACTGCGACTCCACCGCGAAGCTAACAAAATGCAAACCAGCAGTCCCAGCCGGAGAGATTTTCCGGGGTGATCGATCGCCTACCTGGGTCAACATCACCGAACTTATAAAAATTATCTCTGCTGGAAGTAAAATTTACACCGGAAGTGGAAGCTCTACCAACCAAACCACTTCCGGTCATCAAGGCTTTCGTCAGGGCGAATTCACCCATAAAGACGACTTTCAAAGACTTTCAGGGGCACCCACCAAGGTCAAGGTCATCATTACCGGAAATGACGTATCGGTGATTAACGGAATCTCCACCGGAAGTGCTGAGAGGTTTCCCGCCGGTGGGAAGCAGCAAAGGAGTGATTCCGTTCTTAATGATGAATTTCGAAGCCTTGAGATATCGGACGTAAATGTAACAGCCACACGTGGGATTGTAGAGATATCGCATCAAGAAGCAAGAGATTTCTCATCCATTAGTGATATCCTTACCGGAAGGAATATCGTAGCAAGGAATGCAACCACTTCCGGTGGCGTAGGACTCCTCAGCGACGACTCTCAAAGACTCAACATATCGAATAAAGATCAGTTCACTCGAAGTGGGATCTCGACCGGAAGTCCCGTGATTTCACGAAGAACCGGAAGTGAGCTCCGCGAGAGCAGGAACAATTTCCGGCGGAAACGGAGAACCGGTCGCTCGGAGGTTTCGGACAAGCGCGCGCGGAGACGGGTCAAGAAACTCGCGGGAGGGAAAGAAAGCGCGGACGACGCGAAACCGGTTGAGTGGCAACCGGCGGAGTGCAGGAATGCGACCTGCCACCCGGCCGCGAACCGGACTTCCGGCACTTCCGGTTTCCTGAGCAACGTTTCCGGTTTGTCGGAGGACGAGGAGGCCCGGAACCAGCGGATCCTCTACGCTTTCCGGTCGGCGTACCCGATCGAGCAGTGGAAGAACTGTTGCTATTTCAGCGAGGACTTCCTCGCGAGCATCAACCCCCACTGGCTCCAGTTCACGCCCCCGGACAGGTCGTCCCACTACATTTTGGCCAGCCTCTACGCGGTCATCATGGTCGTCGGACTCTTCGGCAACTACCTCGTCATATTCATGTTTCTCAGGTCAGTTAACCAGTTGTTCCTCTGTGTTTCGCAGGCAAATCGACGGTGAAACTACCAAACCACGTATCTCGTTTGCGGTGTTTAAAAATCTACGCTCGCATTTTATTTTTTTGAAGTAGACCAAATCAATATCATTCCTTGAAATTTTCACAGAATTTTCTCCGCACGATGAGGAAAAATCACACAAATTTTCAAGACTGGACGTTAAGTAGTTTTTCATTTAAAAAATAAAGTATGACAGGAAGTCTGCGACGTCGCAAACCGAGGTACGTGGTTTGGTAGTTTCACCGTCGAAATAGTCGAATCCGCCATTTTATCAAATGCCCAGGTTGATAGTCAAATTTTCAGAGTTTATGTTTTCACACAGTCCTCTAATATCCGATATTTGGAGAGTAAACATCCATAAAGGTTTCAGGACATTCCGTCAACGATTTTTTCTCCGGGCACCTGTTTAGTCCAGTAATTTACGTCCACGCGTAAAATAAGAAACAGTGACTTGGTCCAAAGGTTATATTTCAGTCCGTATGTAAAATTATATTGACACTATCCAATTAGAAATTTGAAAGAGAAGAGGGTGTTGTTATGGTAACTCATTTTTAAATGAAATGTTACTTTCTTCTTTTAACTCGTCCTTCAAATTTTCATCGGGAAATATTTTGTTTTATTTTTCTTCCTATAAAGTTAGTTAATATATTTTAAGACATTCAGCGTCACAGGCTATCAACGTCTTTATAGAGAATTTTGAAAATGGGAGTACATACGAAAATTAAGATTTTTAAATTAATAAATGAAGAGTTTCAGAATTTTGGTAGTAATATTGGGTTCATCGCATGTAAGTGGGTTTGTATTTCTGTTGATTGTAGGTGTAGGTGAGTAGATCTGCAATATGAGATATCAGAGCCGAGCAGTCCATAATTACGTGTTTGACGGTTAGAGAAATTGCAGAGGTTACAGATGGGTTCATTTTCTTTGGAGATGATAAGATTGTGACATCGTGTGGCATCGATATTAATCTCAATGAGCCGTACTTGTGTTGAAAGGAACTACACAAAAATGAAAAAGAGAGAGAGAAAAAACCAAGTAGGACGCAAACTTTGGTTTTAACCCACTCTACATCGATCTTTTACAGTCAAACACGTCCAATTTTGAGCGTTTGGTTGCGAATACACCACGCTGCAGCACAGTAAAAGCACAAAATATGAAAGAAAAATTTTAAAGCTCTGGAAATCATTGCATTAGACACGGAACCACCTTGATATTTTCAAAACACACGTTATATTTTCCTTTAATACATATTTTTTTGTCATAAATTTAAATGAGAATAATCCGTGCAGAGCGTGCAAACATTTCAAAATCATGAGTTGAAAAATGCTGACTCCGCGAGTTTAAATATTAGAGTCTAACACAGAGCAAAATGCGCACTGGCGCCTACAAACCTAACGGGATACTTCACGCGTTGCGCAATGCGTGAAGTATCCCTGTTAGGTTTGTAGGCGTCTATGCGCGTGTCACGCTGGTCGCCCGCGCGCCGCGGAGTGCTACGGCTTTTCAAGCAACTATTTCGCGACATAGGTGTTGCACAGAATCATACTAGATTGAAGGCGCTCAACGCACAAGAATGACAAGCTTCCTTTAAGGAAAAGGAACAGGGAATACATGGATCAGGAAACTAATACCAGAAATATACATATGGTTAAATCCAAGACAGGGCTCCAACGCGTGGACTTAAACTACTGGAAAAAGCAAGTGCTCGGACAAAAAATCGTTGACGAAATGTCCTATAACCTCCATAAAAACACAGACTATCACACTGAAAAAAAACAGAGTGTTTTTTTCAGTGCATTACATTTCCCATTCAAAAATCATGCCCTTTTTTGCAACTGTCCAAAGTGTAAAAAACTATTTATTCCATAAAATGATCCACATTTTGAGATAATTGCGTAATTAGGAACTAGAAAAAACGCATCTATCATTGTAAGAAGCAAATTTTTACGGATCAATTTATTCCACGTGATCAGAGAATGATTTTATCAACAGTCAGCAAAATTATCAGAATTTCAGTCTAATTGTAAGTCAGAATATTTGACTGATTGCCTCGACATGAACAAAATGCCTGAGACTATTTGTCTGCGACATATGCATGCTCATGTTAAGAAACATGTATCAGAATGCTTAACTTCGCACCTCGTCTATAAGTGGTCCATTCTCGCCTGAAGGCACATTTTGTCAGATTTCATCATAAATTGTCGCCTTCCTTACATAAAAGCTTAAGAAGACTTCGCGATGGACCCGGTCGTTAATATAACTCAATGCATTCCTGGGCTCATCCCAAATTGCAGTTACGCTGTTTTGTCAACCGAGCGATGCAATACTCCCTCCGACTAGGGAATTAGTCGTTTTATCTGTGTATATCCGATCGTCTCATCTGTGTAAGAAGTCATGGCACGGCAGATGAAACGCCTCACCTCGGAGCATCGGTAAACAAGAAAAATAATCCTCCTTCGAATTCCCTCGGAGTCGCAGGTGGTCGGGACCCGTTCATCGTGGGGCCTCCAACGTCGCACAAAGGATCGATTCGATAGGACAGTTCGGACATTTGGAAACTTTAAACGCTCATAACTCCGATTATACAAAACTTCGAGGTTCCCAAAGTGATTCCACCGGTTTTCTTGTGAAATTCTCTTCTAGGAGCACCCCTTAAAATTTAAAATGTGCACGGAAAAAAATTAAATGCTGATTTAGCATTTAAATTGTTAAAAAAAAAGCCTGTCAAGTTTCATATGCTGATTTTACAATGCAAAAATGCTAACACAACATTTGAATTTGTTCGTTTTACAGTGGGCGTAGTTAGGTTAGCATTTCTCTAAATGGACGTATTAATGCTAAAAGGAACTACGTGCATGAGGAAAGATGGGGTGTGCTACTGGAGGCTGGATAAGAAACAAAGTGGTCTGTGGATATAGTTCCTTTTGAGAAAATGGAACAGCTGGATTTTTATATTAAATCAACAGGAACTGAGCGTTGACTCGTGAGCCGTGGATATATGACAAGAGCGTTGTGGACAGGGCTCATGAGTTAAAGCGCCCTGACGACGAGTTCGTTACCGTTTTGCGTCTCGATCGTCGCCGCTGACGTCACTGGCGCTTTAAAATCCCCATTCATTCGACTTATGACCCTCAACTAACGAGCACACCCCATCTTTTCTCTTGCATATAGTTCCATTTAGCATAAATACGTCCAAATGTAAAATCAGCATTTGAAACTTGTCGGACATGTTTTTAACAATATAAATGCTGAATCAACATTTAATATTTTTCCATGTGACGAAACAAACATCAATATTTGCAGTTTCACCCAAAATTTTCATGTCCGACCCCTCTGATTGACTCGATCCACTGTGTGTCGCCCGTGATATTACGATCACTGAGCGGTGCAGCGGGGGTAGTTTAATGGACCACTAGACAAAGTACGAATTTCAGCATTCTGATACATGTTTCTTCACTAAAATTTCACGTAAAACACGATGCGCACAACGAAAATTACCGAAATCAACTCCTTCCGAAGATATTTAATGATTCTTGGTGCGTGAATTGAAACCACCCGCTCATGAAAACTCAATGCTCTACGTGATTCACATCGCGCGCTAAACGTTATCATGAACGCCTCTGCGATTATAAAATCTGGTAACCTCAACCTTGACGCTTTGACTCAGCTATAGCAAATTACTTATAGTTTGAAAAACACATGTGGGAAATGAACACTGCTTGATTGAGAAGCTTGCTGAAACCGTTGTAGTGTGCGATTTGACTCACGTAGAGCTTTGAGTTCCTTGTGAGCGGGCATTTCAAATTCCTCGTAACCAATGTGAAATAAAAATATTAATATCTCCGTTAGGATTTGGTTTCAGTAATTTTCGTTGCGCGAATCGTGTTTTACGTGAAATTCTGGTTAAAAAACATGTATCAGAATGCTTAAATTCGTACCTTGTCTAGTGGTCCATTGGATAGGCAACGGGAATACACACGACCCTGGAGTCGTACATAGCTGAAACCCCGCCGCACAGTGGATCGAGTCGATTAGAGAGATCAGACACGAAATGTTTGACTAAAACTACAAATTTTGGTTTTCGTTTCGTCACATTTTAAACTTTAAGGGGTGCCCCTTGAAGACAATTTCGCGAGAAAACCAATGGAGCTCCTTCTAGAACCTCAAAGGTCTTTATGAACGGAGTAACAAGCGTTTAAAGTTTCCAAATTTTGTCCAACCTCTCGGATCGACTCGCTCCATTGTGCGTCGTCGCCGCTGACGATAACCACCTCGAGTGCCCTTCTTTCAGTTTCACTTTAAAGTTCACATCTTGACCTATTTGTTTTTTTATAATGAAGCCGCTTTCCCGGGGAGAAAACTATCGACGCAGTAAGGACTCCCTCCCTCCCCGCCGCGGCATCCCGACTGAGGATAAGTTCTGAAACGGAAATCGGAGACGGGTATTGTGGCTGTAAGCACGAGACGAATCCGTCTTGGATCTAATAAGCCACTAAACACGCTACTTTAATCTTTAATGATGGCCCTGCCCTGTTAGTAACGTCAAATGAACCGAGTTCAGTACTACCATGCTAAGGAAGAACGCCGTATGAACATTCGAGAGTTGACAAATTTCCCTGGATAAAAAATGTATTTTTGACAACATCCATGCATATTTTTCCTTTAAATTTTCAAATATTTTAGATTAAATTGCGTAAAAAATTGTCTGAAAAATTTTGGCGAATAATACTCGCTATTTTCCCATTAAATTATGGTTTTATCGGAGGAAACTTGGCAACGTCTGAAGGCTCATACGGCGTTCTTCCTTAGCACGGCAGAGTAGGAAGTAACCGAATGCATGACGCGTCTATAAAAGCATCTATCTGTGTATGGAAATCAGCGGTAGATATTTTGGTTTTAAATGGGCCTGTTGCTAACTTGAGCTATTGAGTCCCTTTATACTAAGAGTTAAGACA